AAATGAAACGGACACATGTCTTGATTTAACCGACGAAGTGACTCAGCACGATACATCTTCAAATTCAAGTGAGTGAAACGCAAACTACCAGCCGCCAGGAGGGAAGGTGTACGGAAAAACAAATGCGCTCGAAAATACGCTAAATGCGTATACCCACGAATGGCATACCTTCATGAGAAAAACGCCAGCCAGGATAACGCTGCAGAGGTCAAAAATGAAATTTACTTTCCATCCAGCCGGTATAACCAGACCTCGGGTTGATGTGCGATAAACAGCCAAATGGGCCACTCCACATCGGTAGATCCGGTATTCACAGGGCTTAAAACGGCGTGCCTTCTTTTCCCATAACAATTACACAATCCCAATTTAGTGGTGGCATCTCCCACCCGCTAAGCAGCCCACAAAGTTGCCTCCACTTATTGTTTGGCGGCGATCTGCGCCAACATCAGACGGCTGTGCGGCGATTGTGGCGCGATCCCCGCCGTCCCAGAAGCGGACGGTCCGCTTCATTCAGCGAACAGGTGAGAACGTTCGGCGAGCGGCGAGGGAGAGCGGCCGGCGAGGGAGAGCGGTCGGCGAGCCTTCGAGGAGCGGCCGCCAGGATACACAGACCGACCAGGTGCACTGACATTACCATTGGTACATCCTGCTGTGATTCCGGACAGCAGAGACAACGGATGGCGGACGTCGTCAAAGGCTGATTTACACCTGATTTATTCCGGTTACCGAGAAGAGAGGTACAGGGCGCCAATGGATGAAAGTGTGAGAGATATTACTCGCTATTTTCGAGGAGCACACCTCCGCGAATTTTTCAGCTCTGATGCCGGATGCCTGCATTCCGTTCCGAAACACTCAAGCCGGCTTATTACTTTCGAGGATGCCGTTGAAATTCAAATCCACAGAAGCAGGGTCAATAGGATTTCAGTAGGCATTTTCATCGCCAACTCTACGAATATCCTTAGTAGCCCCGATTCTTTTCAGTAACAGTCCAAGAATTTAAAATTGTAAGACTTAGTTTAAGTGTTCCTTAAGTAGCCCAGCTCGCATAGCACAGAAGTCAATAAAAATCAAAGCCCGCTAGGTTCGCAGTACTCGACAGGACTTGAAGCCATCCTTCTTTACTGTAATATTGCGCATAGCCATGCCATACGAGTACTATGCAGAAGAGAGCTCATTTCTAGAAGAAGTAAGGAAGCATAGCTTTTTTACTAATTAACTAAGTCATGATCGAGGTACCAATGAATGCTTTTATATCAGAATGATGTTGCATGAAAAAAAAAAACAGTAACAATGATAGAAAAAACTTGCCAGGTTAATGCCTCAGAGCATCGGTACAATTTTAAACCCCTGAACTAATGCAAACCCTCCCTTTTCAGGTTCATTATCGCGACATTGCCGTGTGCACCACCCTGCTTGGGATCGTGGGAGGCCGCGCCGTGAAGGCGGCAGAACACACACCCAACACGGACGCTGGGAAAAAACGGCGCTGACACCGACTAAGTCTCTTAGAGCAGACAGGAACGCTGTTCACTCAGTTGCCACCCCAAGGCGCGGTCCGAGCAAGGTGCTATGAGCAAAACGGATAAATTCACTTTAAAAAGTCGTAGCTTGTTTCCAGCATGGCGTGCGATAATGTTAGCGAAGCGAGCAAGTGTAAGTCGTTTAAGCTCCTTTCGAAAACATCAGGTGTTTTGTAATCAGCATTGACAGAAATGTTCTTAGGAACATAGGTATGTTCTTGCAGCTTCAGAAATTAATCCTTCAAACAGCGGAACACGGTGTCACCAGGCGGTGCTAGCCAGCAGTTGTGCTGAAAAACGGCGCCGCAATTTGTACCTGATTTATTGGGTTTAGGTCAGCAGCTTCAAGCCATGGGAATTGAAAATTACTGAACGGCGGCAACGTGGCGCCAATATGATAGCTGATGTATAAAATTGGGCTATATATCGAACCAATGGTACATTATTTCCTGATCGGTCTGGTGAGTTAGTAATTTTTTTTTGCGGTATTGCATTTAGCCAACTGAAAGACCTCGCCTATTCAACCGGTTTATACCTCAGATAATATGATTAGTTGTGGCTACACATTCGCTTAGCGCTTATGCTTTTCGTAATTATTCAACAGCAAATCACCGTTTTTGTTTTGTGATTAACGAAACGTAAATTTTGAATCAATGAAGAGCACTACACATAACGGAGATGACAAACTGAACGACTAACGTCAAGAGCAGTATGAAAGCGCCAAGGTTCTGTTAAGAACATCCACCTTATGTTATTGTCATTTGAAGTAAGTGTCAGTGTGGACAACCCACTTAAAAGTGGGTGACTAAAAATCGGCCTAGGACATTTATCGAGGTTTTAGTTTAACATTCAACTGGTAGCAGGTCACCATGACATACGTCACTGAACAGAAAACGCTATTCCGGCCGCATCTCTCCTGGTTACGAGCCCTCTCAACTCTCATCAGCGAGTAGATCGCACCTCCCACTCTTTCCTCTCCCCGTAGCATAAAATCCAACTCTGCCATCCCCAGTCAACAATAAGAACAGCTTACAGCACCGTACCTGACTTTTTCAGCGCCTGTTTGGCGAACGGCACGGCGTCGTAGGGCCGCGGGAGGTCCAAGAATACAGCATCAGCAACACTGTCCAGGTCGAACCCCTCGCCACACACGTCCCTGGAGAGAGACGAGAAAACAGTGCGTGATTATCAGAGTCCGCCCAATAGTTTCTTGTGCTCTCTAATTAACTTTTTTCGTCGGTCGACGTTTTACATAGCTAAAGCTATGGCCAAGCATGAAGTCAAAAAATATCGCATACGTCCTCACTCCACCATAAGTATCTATTATAAAAAATCAGTCCGAAGAAAAAGGATAACGCATAATTTTTCCACCGTTTATACGGGTTAAGGCCTGGCTACACTATGCGTTTTCTGCGTGCGTTTTTGCAGGTTTGCGTGTTTTGCGTAATATCGTTCTAGGAAAAAAGTTATAAACAATATATTTTTTACTTTGGTTATATACAAAAGCTAATATAACTCTTATGTAACTAAAACTTAAGGTGAAAAACATCACAAAAACGTAATATCGTTCTTTTTTCTAGAACGATATCACGCAAAACACGCAAACACGCAAAAAACGCACGAAGAAAACGCATAGTGTAGCCAGGCCTTTACTTGAAAAGCAGCTGATTCTCAGACGGTGCACAGAGTGCCCGATCACACCCACGACCCAATCTTGTACACAAATACTCGCACACTCCCAAGCACACCCCGTAGCACGCGCCACGCCCCGTACCTGTGCCGGGCGGTGACATAGTCGCCCACCCCGTGAGCTGAGAACTCCTCAGCGGCCAGCCGACTGCGCTGCTCGTGAAAGTCGAACGTGTGCAGGTGACCGGTGGGAGCTATGGTCCGCAGGATAGCATGTGATAGCGAGCCACTGCCGGTACCTGGGGGAGGTCACCGTAGGGTAATAAGGTCAGGGGAAGAGTTGTGCGTTTTGAAGGAAGAGATCCTTCGGTCATGGTCACTGGTCAGTCATAAGATAGGTGGTAGGTCTGTTCAAAATTAATGTTTAAGATACTAGAATATGTTACTCAGTAGAAAACAGCAGGCAACAGCTAGTTACCTACCTTGCAAAGTTTACGAGGGATAAATAGTTACAAATCGAACACTGCATCGTTGAAGTAGGTATGTCCCGTGGGGGACTGTGTCAAGCTATCCCAACTCACCGGCCTCGCAGACGACACTGCCGGGCCGCAGTTCCAGCTGGGTCAGCACCATGCTGATGTCGGGCGTGTACAGGATCTGCGTCCGGTGCGGCAGCGTCAGCGTCCACAGCTCGGGCGTCGGGTGGAGCGCGAACGCCCAGCCACGCGTCATCTGCACCTGCGAGCCGTACTTCATACCTGCCATACAGAGGGCAGCACTGAGCAGCCGGCAGATGGCGGCACCAATCGGATTTACCATTGCCACAGACTGCCTTGGCACAGTCATGCATCGGTGACGTTTTGGGGTTTATTCGGGTTCGTTGCTTAGAAGACTGCGTGGCTCGCAAGCGATTCTACACACTTTTATATGTGTAGAACAAGAAAAATCTCAGTAAATATAAGCAAATTACATTTCCTGGGCCCTTGCAATGAAACAAATGGTCAATGCATGTCTTCAGGTTAGGATGCCTATAACCTGTGCCCTGTGGCATTCAAGCATGCGAAATTCATTTACGTTACGAGCAAAAAAATTTACACATTCAGCAATATGAAGGACTTCTGGACAATTGACAATATTTACGACTTTTGAACTGTTCATCTATAAAATACTTACCGACCAGATCCTTCACTTTTAGAGCTCCATAAACTGTTTGAAAAATGTTGGGAACCATATTCCCCTTCTTGTTCTTGACTTCTTCTGATACAGTTATAGCATGAATGTTTTTAATATTTAGATACAATATGACTGTGTCTCCCATCTCCACGTGAGTCTTGTACTCCTTAAAACTCATGGTGAATCTGAAAAAAGAAATATTGTTAGATTCAGAAATCATGGCACTGTGAATGGAATAAATATGTTCATATTTTTCTCTTCTTTTTTGCTTATTCTTAATGCTTTTGGTAGCAGACATTTCCTAAAATAGGTCAAATTGTCATTTATGATGCATGACAGCTGCTATACCTAGCGAAACATTAGCAAGATATTTTAATATGTAACACCTCACCCCAACTCCCAAGCATACAAAAAATTGTGAATATTTATCCACAAGCATAAAAAATATTTATTTTCCAGCAAGGAAGATAAAAAATTGAATTTAGCTGCTAATAATTTGAGGAGCAAGAACCAATCCCCTAACTAATGACAAGACTTTAACTGGAGACGTGGAGAATAAGAGCAAAATAAAAGGACATGACAGACAGACAAAATGAATCTTAAGTTTTTTGTTGGAAAAAAACTTGTCCCATGCCATCTATCCTATGCCTAAAAAATCCAATTGAACTGAAAGCCACTTTAACTTGCGAAGGCTTTATTCAACAAACAACGAGGCATGGCACCTGACAAAAGAAAAGCCAGTAAGCATGCGCCGGAAACGGGACAGTAGCCACACCATGCAGCAATCACTCACAACATGCGCAACATGCATCATGCAAAACGGAACAGTTCACCACATTCTCCCCCGCCAACAAAATGCGCAACATGTCACAGATCTAGTCGCTTTGGGGCTCGTCTTTCACGCATCGAGCGCCGCGGCGGTACGCGAGTCTCCACATCAACATTCGGACGAACGCGAGACTCCACATCAACATTCGGACGAAGAGCCGACGTGTCGCCGGCCTCGTTAGTTCCGAGGGAAGCGTCAGGTGGGTCCACGATAAGCTCACAGGGCTGAGACTGGTCGTCACAATCAGCTGGGATCAACTCGGGGTCCTGCGACGGTTCACATGCGATACCCGGCTGGAGTACGGCATCCTCATCACGACCGCGAACAGGAATATCACCCGGCGGAGCAAGATCACGAACAGACACAGTTGTTTCCTGACCGCTAGGTAGCCTCACATGTGCATACCGTGGGTTGACATCGAGAACATCGACTTCATCGACCAACGGCTCGTACTTTGAACGGCGGACATGTCGTTTTAGCAGCACTTTCCCCGGCGCAGCTAGCCAAGAGGGAACAGAGTGGCCACTCGCTGAACGCCTCTGGAAGGCGAACATACGCTCGTGCGGAGTAGAGTTGGTGGCAGTACAAAGCAGCGTTCGGATGGAATGAAGCACATCGGTAAGTACACTCTCCCAGTGAGTAATCGACAGTTTTCGAGTTTTCAGAGCGAGTGTAATGGACTGCCAGATCACTCCATTGTATCGCTCGCATTGGCCGTTTCCCTGGGGATTGTACGGGGTGGTCCTGCTGACCGCTACTCCCCGACTTGTGAGAAAGTCTCTGAGTTCGGAGGACATGAATGACGCGCCGCGATCGGAATGAACAAAAGCTGGCATCCCGAACACCGAAAACAACTCACAAAGACGCGCGATCACAGTCTCGGTCGACATATCTGCACAGGGGAAGGCAAAAGGAAATCGTGAGTACTCATCTATGACTGTCAGAAGATATCGGTTGCGAGATGAGGTAGGCAGCGGTCCCTTAAAATCAATACTCAGCCGTTCGAATGGACGGGTGGCTTTGATCAGGTGCGAGGCAGGCGGCTTGTAGAACCTGGGTTTACATTCAGCACACACAGGACAAGAGGACGTAACTCTCTTCACGTCATCAATGGAAAATGGGAGGTTTCTACAGCGCACAAAGTGAGCCATTCTCGTCACACCGGGATGACACAAGGCGTTATGTAGCTCGATCAGTTTGTTCGAATCGACTGCCGAGCAGAGGGACATACGAGACAGTGTGTCAGCGGGAATATTGTCCTTGCCAGGCCGATACACGACATCGAAGTCAAAGCAGGACAGTTCCAGCCTCCACCGTTGGATCTTGTCGTTCTTTATCTTCCCCGCGTGCGCTTGGCTGAACATGAAAGCCACAGACTGTTGGTCAGTGATGAGGGTGAAGTGCTTTCCAGCAAGGTAGTGCCTCCACTTCCGAAGAGCATCAACGATGGCATGGGCCTCCTTCTCAACGGCAGCGTACTTCTGCTCACTGGCATTGAGCACCCTGGAGAAGAAAGCCACAGGTCTTCCCGCTTGAGTCAGAGTGGCCGCGAGAGCGACGTCTGATGCGTCAGTTTCCACCACAAATGGAATCGCCTCGTCTATCGACTGGACTACAGACTTTTCTATCTCTTCCTTCATTTTCACAAACGCTTCACGAGCTTCTTTTCCAAGGGGGAAAGATGTCGCTCCAGTCAATGGGCGAATCTTCTCAGAAAATCTGGGAATCCACTGAGAGTAGTATGAAAACATACCAACAGCTCGTCGAAGTGCCATTGTGTCCTGAGGAAGGGGGAGGTTTCGGAGTGGCTCCAGCCTCTCAGGATCGGGCTTTATCTCTCCGTCAGAGATGCAGTACCCCAGGAGCCTGATGGTTGAGACAGAGTACACACATTTGTTCTCGTTCAGCGTCAGATTGTAGCGTTTTGCAGCATCCAGAAACCTCTGAAGGTTGACATCATGCTCCTCCTTTGTCCTCCCGCAGACAGTGACGTCATCCAAGTACACGAACGTGTCCTTGAGACAGTTGTCTCGAATGAAGTCGTCCATGGTACGCTGGAAACAGGCCACACCATTGGTCACCCCGAACGGCAGACGACGAAACTGATACAGGTTCTGTCCGGACTGGAAGGCAGTGAACTTCTTGTCAGCCTCACGGATGGGTATCTGGTGATACGCACTTTTCAGATCAATGGTGCTAAAGTGTCTGTACTTCGCAACGCTGTTGACGACATCATCGATGCGAGGGAGAGGGTATGCGTCCAGCAGAGTAAATTTGTTGATTGTTTGAGAATAATCAATCACCATTCTCTTTTTGTGCCTTTCGTTCACCGTCACAACTACCTGCGCACGCCAGGGAGAAGTGCTCGGCTCGATGATACCCTCGGTGAGAAGTTTCTGAGTCTCAGACTCGATGAAGGCCCGGTCCTCCTCACTGAACCTTCTTGATTTGGTGGCCACTGGCGTGCAGTTTGGGCTCAGGTTTTCAAAGAGGGAAGGTGGAGAAACAGAGAACGTTGCTAGCCCACACACGTTCAGAGGAGGTTTGTTACCTCCGAAGCTCACAGTGACATTTTCATGCTGCTTGAGAAAGTCGTGGCCCAGGATGATGTCAGAGCACAGGTAAGGCAGCACAGACAACCGCACATCATGGTACACACAGTCCTGCACCTCCAGCTTCTCCACACAACAGCCACGAATGTTAGAGGAAAGGGTTGTAGCAGCCATAGAAACCTTCCCAGAGGCTGGCAGCACAGAGAGGCCAAGGTCCCTGACACAGCTTTCAGAGATGAAACTCTCGGTGCTACCAGTGTCCACCAGAGCCCTGAGCTCATGATCACCAAGTGTCACACTCACAGTAGCTTTAGACAGATTGCCAGGCGTGGCAGCAGACAGCATGGCATGCGAGACAGAAGTACGAGACAATGGTGCAGCTGGCGACCTACACACTGATTGATAATGCCCTTTCTTTCCACAGTTCAAGCAGGTCACATTACGAGCAGGGCATGCACTGCGAGGGTGGCGCTTTCTACCACAGAAGAAGCACTTTTCCACAACCCCTGCTGCAGTAACTCTCACATCATCAGAAGCAGAGGCAACTGGTTCTGGCTCTACATCCGACTGGGCCGCAGCCGCTGTGACTGGATTTGGAACTGAGTATGATTCCAAACTCTGCTGAGCAGACTCTAGGGCTCGAGCCTGGTCAAAAGCCGCTGACAGCTCCAGGGTCTTGTTTTCAAGAAGACGCTGTCTGATTTGCTGTGAGCGCAGCCCGTTGATGAAAGCGTCTCTGATGAATTCCTCTTTGTGCTGCTCAGCACTGACAGCTTTGAAGTTGCAGTCGACACTTAAGCTCTTCAGTGCTTGAAGAAACTGATCAAGCGTCTCTCCAGACCCCTGCCGTCTACTGGCAAGCAAGTGACGAGCAAAAACCTCATTCTTGGGCTTGATATACAGAGCAGACAAAATTTCCACAGCTTCTTCGTATGTGCTGCACTCTGATACATAGTCATAGACCCGAGGACTAAGATAGTTCACCAGAACGTCAAGTTTGTTTGGATTATGGTCAGCTATAGACGTGAGAAAGTTTGAGAACGTCTTGTGCCAGTGCTTCCACTCCTTTTGAGCTTCACTGCTATTGGGGTCTGTATCAAAACGATCTGGTCTGAGAATCCGTTCCATAGTAGGCAGTGTATAACAGACCTCTTTCTTCTTGTGGCTTCTTGTGTTGTTTGTTGAATAAATTGAACTGAAAGCCACTTTAACTTGCGAAGGCTTTATTCAACAAACAACGAGGCATGGCACCTGACAAAAGAAAAGCCAGTAAGCATGCGCCGGAAACGGGACAGTAGCCACACCATGCAGCAATCACTCACAACATGCGCAACATGCATCATGCAAAACGGAACAGTTCACCACACCAATATTAATGGCTCATGACTATGAGTTATATTCTATGCGTGTTCTATGAGTGTTATTGAGACAGAACAACTGATGACACACATCTCACACTACCTTTCAAAAAAAGCCCTACCGGACAGGCTAGGCGCTAGCTAGGTACCTACTACCGGTAAATGTGTAGTCTGTAGATGAAGTATGGTGAAGATAAAAAACATAATCTAACCTGACCTAACCTTACCTACTAGCCTAAAACTTTCAACCTACAACCTATAGCCCTAAAACCCACAACCTACCAATCTACCATTTGTACTTCATCTTCAAATATACCCCTACTACCAACTTACTGAAAGATTGAAGGCAGCAATTACCTACATTAGTTCAGCACTAAGGCAGTCTGAATGTGCTAAGAAGTCAGTGAATTGAAAATATAAAAACAGTATGAAATGAATCATAATTTAACTAACCAGTCCTTAATTGGCTAAACTTAAACCATAACACAAAACTTGAACAACCCCAGTAGCATGCAACATTGATTTAACATTAGAATTGGTTGCATCTAGGTTGATTGTCAACACTGAGGATCAACAGACTTTTGAAATTTGACATTGATCCAGCATTGATTACACATAGATTTTGTGTTATAATTGGTTGAATTCTGGTTGATTGTCAACAATTGAGGATCAACCGACTTTCAAAATTGAGCTAACATTGATTTTATGTTGATTTTGCATTGTATTTGATTTTTATTAAATTTGGTCATATGTGGCTAACAGCACGACATTGATATGATATTTATGTCAATGTTGATTATATTTAGAGCCAACATAACTGTGCTACTAGATCGAAGGGAAGGAAATTGGTTTTAATTTAAAGGGACCCTCCCACCTTCAAAAAAGTTAATGAATTGGCACGAAAGTGATGTCGCTCGGTTCAGAAAGAGCGAAAACGAATATCTACCAAATTTCATCGAAAAATATTCACCGGTTTTCAAGATATTAGACTTTTACTTTTGTTTACTTTTTGGGATCTCCGCTGTTCCTAGCGACTTTATTTGAAAGTGCGGCATTTGTTGCGCGCAAAGCCGCATATACCACCGCGTGCTACCAAACGTTTTAGTAAAAGATTTAAAAATCGTTAGATCTCCGCTGACGTCACAAATTCTAAGGGGGCATACCAATGCACTAGCCCCTTAGAATCCGAAAACTGCAAGTTTGAAATTCCATATCTCCGAATTAAAGCATTTGTCGATGTTGTGAGTGCCCAAACCGGTATTTGCAGGCCATGGCCACCAATTTGGCTATCTCAACTCAAAACTAATGTTAAGGTGGGAGTGTCCCTTTAAAAATAATTAATTAACATATTTAACATTAACAGATTAACAGATTAATTAACAAATGTATCTGTTCACTATGTTTTTGTTCATTGAATCAAACTACATACCTTATTTGCCTATCTCTTTTGTCTGTATTGATTAATAAACCGCCGGTGGAAACCGGAAGAGAAAAAACATTTCAATTTTGGCTGCAACAAAAGAAACATTTCATTTCATGAACTATACACATACACTACAAAGTACAAATGTATCTGCAATACTCCTACTTATTAGAAAAATCGAGGGGAACACATTTATATTTATTTTGAATGGATTTTATGATCAGGTTGGCGACTGCAGCCTCTTATCAGTGTAAGCACGGTGTAAGTTGCAGTGAAGAACGGAATGTCATAGCAATGGATAAGAATTTGATCAAAATTTAGACATTTTTCAATTGATGTTTTTCTTATCATACTGTAACATTCAGACAAATTTCAACAAAAATATAATGTTTTACTTTCATTTCTGATTTCTACTAATATCCTCGACCCCTTCCCTCAACACACGTGTGTATTTTAAACATTTCGAGATCAATTGTAAATGGCGCGCACTAACCCCGCGTTCGATGTCTCCCGGACGGCAAAGATTCTACGTGACGTCACGTAGAATCTTCGTCGTCCGCGCAGAATCTTTTGAGCGTACTACGGTGGGCAGAGAGGCAATGATGGCGCGTATTTCAAAAGCAGCGCAGCAGCTGTTTGCAGAAGTTGTTGACATTTGTGCGCGGTCTCTATGGAAACGTAAACTTGGGCCTTTTTCGAAACCGACGCACATTGTGTAAGTGGCGCACAAAATGGCCGATCTCGTCGTCCGCCTGTGTGCTTCATCCACAGGGGAGCAATGCCGCTTCAACCCTATTGGCCGTAGTGTCTAACGGTGGCGGCCATATTGCGCAGACCAGAAGCCGGCTGCCGCCTGTGTTGAGGAATAGGGAATTCGGGACATCGATTTACGTTTGCGGCCGCCGTATCCGTTACGTTCGAGTTACGTAGATACGGAACCCGGCATCTTACGCAGAATTGAGTGGGGAACACGATCGTATCTTCAGAATTCCTCAAATTCACTCGCCTGACCTACATTTGCCCCGGCCGAGGGGGTTGATTGAACCCACCTCGCTAATGCACCGCTAATTAAACTAGAATTAAGCGGTAAAGTGGTCGTATGCGGCAAAGTATAATGCAGAGTGACTGGTAGGAACCCGCTGTAAGGGTCTCAGGTCAACCGGTGACCTCTGAGGTCAGGTCAAGTGATCTAAGGCACGGGTTCGGTTTTTGGTAAATAGTTTCGCCAAAAATGGCCGTAGAGCCGCGATTTTGGCATCATCGTGTTCAGCTAGCTCAGGCGCATCGAATGATATACTTTTTGTTTGGGTCAGGTCAACTTAGGGTGTTGACCTCAGGTCAAGGTCAGGTCGGCACCCCCAGGTCACGAAGTTGGTCGAAAGAGGTCATGTCGCATATCATTCGATTCGGCAGGTCTTCCTGAGTCCATTGGTGGCTTTCCCGACTCGCTAGCTCAATTTGATCGGGAGTTATTGAAGAAAAATTGTGACCCTTGTGACGTCACAGATGACGTCACGCAAGGGCAACAATGCAAATATGAAGCATAGAACCTTGCAAAAAGTGCATGAAATCATGATTCTATATGCTTGAGATAGTTTCAGATCATTCTCGGCGCCAAAATAGCAATTTTCATATTTCCCCATTGACTTATAAGGGTTTAACGTATTAGTTCCTTGTAACTGAGGATTTTTTAGGATTTCATCTTGTTCTCCACTCAATTCTGCGTAAGATGCCGGGTTCCGTGTCCACATAGCTTGAGCGTAACGGATGCAGCGACCGCAAACGTAAATCGAGGTCCCGAATTCCCTATTCCCCAGCACAGGCGGCGGCCGCTTTCTGGTCTGCGCAACATGGCGGCACCGTTGGACACCATTTGGCGGCCGATGCGCATTCCACATTATAGAGTTCAGTGGCTTCATCGAACGCAAAATAGAATATTCTGCGTAGAATGTTCTTCGTCCGAGGAGACATCGAACGCGGCCTAAATGACTCAAATATGGAAGCATTTGGAAGCATTCCCTTTTGCCGAAAGCTGAAAAGTTTTTATGTAGGGTGAAGAAAAACCCTAAAGCTTTATGAAGTGGGAAATGCAATGATGTGTGTGCATTATTGAAATGATTATGATTAGTTAACCGCAGTGTGCACTCCAGTCTTCACTTTAAACGCACATGCTGGGTAAAATCGCAATTATCCAGCAGCACAGGCTCTATACTTATTCCGTACTCAATCTGATAGGCATAACGGTAGGGGAAAGTGGGGTAAGACGGACACCTTAACTTTGGAGCCATTTTTCGGCCGGTTAGAAACATCATAGAAACGGGAAACTGAGTGAAAACCTCTTTTAGACATTTTACTTCCATTTGCCAGAAGATGAGACTTAGACCTGATTCAACAAATAAACTGCAGCTATTTTTGCAAAACCTTGCAAAAACCCGTCTTACCCCACCCCATGGGGTAAGACGGTCACATGGGTAGGGCAAGACGGCCAGCTTCTTTCACCGACCAGTACAGCTCGCAACAAATGCCCGAAATTAGCTGCATTGATACAGTCGCTCGTTGGTCTCAAGTGCCTCGGAAATGGCAGTATACAAGATTTGTGCAGAAGGCGTATGCTCGTATATAGGCCCTAGATCAGAAGTCATGTAGAACCGTTTTTCACATTCATCATTCGAGAATAAACTGTGCCGAAGGAATATTGCTAACATGTCTGTGAGTATCGGAATCGAAGATATTCTTATAAGAAATGCTTCTTTTTTTCCTACAGCAACAAAAATATTTTCACCATTACAGACCCATTGGATTCATAGTTGCCCGTCTTACCCCTAACTCAATGTAAGAAGTTCAGCACAATTTTTCTCTGTGGACAATTTGATGCAGACAAAGCAAATCCGCGGTAAATGAACACTGGTGGCATATGAGTGTACCACAAGTGATTGCGAGTTTTTAGCTGTATAGTGCTGCACACAAAAACTTGCACAATACATTATGGATGTTTTCAATGAAATTAGTGTTTTAAAGAAATCAAAATAAAAGATTATCGACTGAACACAAAATCACCAAACTTCAATGGTGGTGTGTAGTGGGAAAGACAATTCTGGTCCTAATTTTTCTCGCTCGTAGCGCTATTGGTTTGGTCTGCAGAAGGGGTGCCCGTCTTACCTACCCTGACCGTCTTACCCCACTTTCCCCTAGATATTATCCCGGTCACCCGGCGATGTTAGTGTGTCAAACACTCTGTTGTCAAATGTCAAAGCCAGATGCATTTTTTGAATAGGGTGCTCGTTGTTTTCCTCCGAATCTATTCGGAGCTGAGCCATTCCAGCGGAAGGCAAGCAGTCGTGTCCCGAGGGAGCCTGTTGCTTGGTGAGCCCTCCGGGTCCCAAATGTTAAAGCCCCGCCAGCTCACTGTGAATCTCGTTACACGTGATCTACGACGTCCGATGAATTATGTAAAGTGCTACATGCATTATGCAATAATATATGTAGGTCATAGCTATAGGCCGTAACGCTTGTTGAAACCATTGTTGGCCTACAAGGGAGTGTTGTCTGAAGAACCAACTACGTCTGACCCATCATGACCCGACCCGAACCCATACTTTAGGCATACTTGTCCACAGTCATCACTCATCACACTCACTCAACCGGTGTGGGCAGGTGTAGTATTATAAGGAATATACCTTCGAGGATTCTCGATGTAGGTCTGTCCCAAGGGGCACACCCGTCCCATCGCGTCACACCTGTCCCAGCTCGGCTCACCGGCATCCCGCACGGCACGCCCTTCCCACTACAGCCCGAAAGAAAGGCTCACCCGCTGCTGAGGCGCACCAGTGGCGCTGCCGTCGGGCGTCGAATCAGCTTCTTGTCTCACTCTCTTATCCCACCGGACTAGATAATCTGCGGGGGCCCTGAAGATTTCATCAAAATCTATCGGCCATCGGGCCGTGTGCAAACTGTGCAAGGTGCCCGGATCGCCTGCGCCAAACACGAATCCTATCCTACCCTAAAATGTCTAACTTAGAGACTGAAAACGTCCAACATAACACAATACGAAGCACTTTATCTGTGTATGCAGTGCATAGGGCTCATGGCTCCAGGAACGATGTTTTTCATCAGCCATTATAATATGCTGTGCAAACGTGCTAATAACAAAAAGTGTTCTTTTTTGGCAAATATGCTTAATTCGCCAAAAACATCAGGAATGTATCTTAATTAGTTGTTAAGTTATCTTGTCTTAAATCGTCTACTTGTCAATGTCTTCTATAAATACCTATAAATCGTCTATCTAAGCTCATGAATCTGAATAGAATAGGCCAATTCATCCTGAGTATCCTAAGTAGGTATGCTGACTAAAGTGGTGAGAAACCCATTGGCAAGGTACCGAGAATACACCAACTCACGACACCGTCGGCCGTTCCCAATCGACCCAATTTGAACCATAACAGCACGTGCCACGTGGCCTGCGTTCATCCAAGCGCAACGACACAGATTGGCAGTATATTTGTGCTTTCTGCCATTCCACGACCCGTCGCCCTCGCCCGATGTAAGCCTCGCTTTTCGCAGCTCATTGAATTACGTTTCACATCGTTGGTAGTTTGGTCCACAGTTCGCACTCCACTGCACACGGCAGACCGACGGTGCACATTGTTCTGCGACTAAGGAGGGCGTATAAATTGGACCGCCACTCTACCGCGCTCATAGCCACGCAGATCCAGAGTCAGACCAGCTACACAGATTAGCTCTGTGAACCGTATCCTAAGTCAGCCCACTCGCCGTCTATTCAACGCTCCCGTCGCAGCCCAGGGTGAAGTCATGTTCATCGCTCCTCGTTTTCTGTGCTTGGCGCTGTCGGTGGCTTTTGGAGTTGTCGACTCGATGCAGAACGGCTCACCGTCAGCCTCGCTCACTCCGATCCATTTCGGTAAGTCTCGAGCAGCGTTACGCGGAAGGAATAATGAGTAGTATCCGTTCTCTTTTGACTATTTTCTTAGATAGGCACTATATGAAGTCTGTTCCATATCAAGCTTGCGGTCGGGGTTTCCTCAACAGTTCGCTCCTCCGCTCAATAATTTGCGCATTTGAATGTAAGAGCTGCATGTGCAGAAATCAGGCACTGCTTTCAGCGGGGCACTTCGACCGCAAGTTTGACATGGAACAGACTTTTACTTTTGCTATGTTAATAAAAAGCGAAGAAAGTTTTTTCCTAGCACATTATATATTGAGAAGAAAAAATAATAAGGTAAAAAAGTTTACAATAATTCATGCTCCATTTGTTTATTGTTCATTCACTTATGAAGCTACGTCCTAGCAAGGCAGATATCACACATTAGCAGAGTTCCTGATGCAGAGACCTGCTAATAAATACAGCCATGGTAATTAATGCCCATATACCGTGCGACAAAACAATACATTATAAATCACTCTAATGCCTGAAACAGACTCTTTCCGCAGTCAGGAAATCGCATGCGAGGGCCTATTCAAATACATGGAAGCACGCTCGCATCAATCGCACGCACCTCCCGGATGCGATTGATGCGGGAAGCGGAATTTCCTGAACGCGGAAAGAGTCTGTTTCAGCCTTAAGCCCTGAGTTGGCCCTGAGTTTGATTATCAAGCTCGCCCTCCGTTCAGTGCCGGTCAGGCACTCTCCGCCGTCGTGTTGAGCGCCATTATGCAGTCCTGCAGAGGCGCCTGCTCCGCCACGTCTATGCAGTGGTCCCAGAGGGTGGGCGAGTACTTGCGGCAGGCGATGTCCGGGTCGTGCACTCGGCGCCAGATGTCCACCAAGTCGTCAGTGGGGATCTGGTGCGCGCCGAGCAGTGCCCGGAACAGGCACGTGTTGTTACTGGGTACCGGGTAGGTGTAGATCTCTGGTGCCCGCCGGCGCCCCACGCCCGCCCCCTGCGCGCCGATGCCGGTGACGGCTACGTCCTCGATGAAGAGGTAGGGCCGCTTCATGAGGTGCTGGAAGATCCCACACACGGCGTCGGTACTGATGAGGTACATCGGTCCGCCCATGTAGCGCGGAAACATGGGCTGGTCCCAGATCGCCTCGCTGACGTAGAACACTGACTTCGGGTCGCGCTCCGGCTTCGGACTGGAGACCAAGTTGCCGTAGATGATGTTCCTCTTGTCCTGGTGGTACTCGATGAACTGCATCAGGTTGTTGAAGTTGATGAAGAGGTCGTCATCGGCCTTCAAGACGAATTTCGCCTTGGGGCAGAACGTGTCCACCCACTCGAGCGTGGCCAGCGACTTGAGCGTCAGGTTGTTGTAGTGGTCGACGAAGTTGGCCTGCACGATGTCGCCGAAGATGTCGGCCTCCTTCTCGATGCTCTCCTGGACGGCCGAGTCGTTGGTGCGTGCCACGAGGAAGGCTAGTACCACATCTGTCCTCTGGATGCCGGGCCGGGCCCAGGTACGGCGCAGTGTGCGCCGGACGGCGGCTTTACTCGGTCGGCTCTGCACCATCATCACGAGTTGGACGCCGTCGCCGCCGTCGGCACATAGGTAACCGGAGGGGATCTTGAACCCGGGCTCGTAGTAGTCCCGGGTGAGGACGGGACCGTCGGTGGGAGGCTGCTCGCCGGGAACACCTGAAAGGACAACAGAATTCAGATAGTGATGGTGATTCAATTCGCAAAATGCTCTACGACTATGCTACCGGACCTACCAATTTTATTGGGTCGGATAATCAGCCATTGGACCTGAAATCAAGGTGAATCGTTCCAGCGCACGTATCTCTTTTAGTCGTCAGTTTTACAAGGCATCATGCTCCACCTTTTAGCTAATGAGTCATCATGATTTATTTAGTAAATGCAATATAAATGCATCTGCATATGCTAAGGATAAACTGCAGTTGATACTTGATAAGCTAGAGATCTTTACATTCTTCATCCTACTATATGCCAAGCTCAAGCAAAACGGCAAATTATTAAAGATAATTACATCTGAGCTAAGTAATCATTCGGTAACCGTTCTTATTTTTATCTATTTTTGGCTTACCTATTGTTGGCGGAATGCACGTGCAGTCGCAGGTACGTCCGTCAACTGACCACCACGATCGAACCGGGGGACGGGCATACAGCTGCCCTGTTCCGCTAAACTCGAGCTCCTGTTCTTCTCGAACATCTGTGCCCACGACTGCGAACAGCAGGATGCAGAAGACGCCTGTCACGAGATACAGCAGCTTGCGAGGGACCCTCGTCGATAGAAGCTTGTTTATATTTCGGTGCAGTGTTTTGCTTCTGAAAGGAAAGAAATGCCCGTCAATTCAAGGAAGACATCCGATCTTCCACGAGTGAGCCATGAAGAATCCCATATCTTTCTACATATGTTGAGGCTAATTCTAAAGTAATTGAATATTATATTTAAATATATTCATCTATGTAACAATAGATTTAGAGAAGTTTGTTTTTATTTCACAACTTTCTTACACAAGAAGAAACCTCAACTAGAAAGATAATGAACTATGAACAAGTTACGGAGTCGGAAAGACATGATCTTCGGGTAACTTAGCAAAATGTATGAGCACTTTAATTACACGAATCTCTCATGAGGTCGCTTTATGCAGTATTGCAATATTATTTTCATGGTTGAAAGAAGAAAGATGCGCCTGCTATATAATAGCGTCACTAAATAATTTTGACAAAGAACCAAGTCATCGATTAACCCGCGCCCGGCTGGGGGCCCTGGATTTCCACGCGGAAACTATAAATCAGTTATCGATTTCGGAAGCTACGAGGGGCATTTGCCCCAATGCCCCCTAGGATCCGCCAGTGCAGTGAACTGATTCTGTTTTAGCGGGCATTTTCATGTGTTTGGGAGTTTGATAATCGGTATCTTACGCCTCCCAATAGCCATATGGAACGATTGGACCCCGTAAAACTAATAATTGGGTAATCGATGCATAACGTTGTACCAAATTGTGATTTGACTTGAGCAAATTGACATACCTATGTTAGCTGGGAATATTACCTACCCGCGTTGTTTTGTATCTGGGAATGCAGTATTGACAAAAACAACCCCAACGTATTTTACAACTTTAAATAATCCGGGTTTGCTGATAGTTTTCTTTGGTTCCCTTAAAATTGTCGAAAGATGTAAGTATTCCACTGCAAATCTCGAACTGTAACCTAGGTACTTGAAAGTAGTGCGCATGACGCATTGAAATGGCATAATCTTGCTGCTATGTGGGGATGACGACGCCAAAGGCCGCAAGGCCACTCGGTACCCTCATTTCCCCTATATATTCAACCCAGGTGATCAAAATAAGTCGGTGTGCTCGACTTCAATGATACAGGCAATGAACGATGTGTATTTTCTATGCAAGTAAGTTATTGATACAATAGATAATACTTATCTGTACTATACTAATACTTATCTTATCTGTATTTCAAATACATTCATACCGACTACACCCAAAAAAGTTGCCACCCGGGAACCTACCCGCGCATGCAGGAATACGTAAGAAAATCATGAAAACCTACCTATTTGATCACGAGCTTCATTCTGTTCGATACAATGTTCCAAAAATTTCAATGAAGCATCTCTTACTCATCGCACAATGCACACAGACCAATCTCATTCTCACTCTCAGAACACATTCGGCAGCAGCACGCGGCACGTGTCGGTGTCGCTCTCACTCACCGTGCGCGGAACTCCAGCCACAAGGAGGCCAGCACCATCTCGAGCTCCGCCATGGTCGACGCTCACCGTTAGACTGCAGTGGGCCGGCGCGACGGGTCGCTGCGCGCCGGAGCCGGAGCAGAGACGGGTGCCGTTACCTGGACTGGCTGCGGCCCGCGCACGCCCGCGACGCCCCTCCGCACGTTACCTGGAAGGCAATGCACGCTACCTCGCGCGCTGCACCGTGCTGCACCGGCCACCAGAGGTGACCCACCGAACTCAAGGCCCTATACCGAACTCTGTGACCAGCGAGACATTAGCATAGGCACGTCGCAATAGATGCATGCAAAAATGGGATGCTGATGGGCGCAGGAGGGACACTTATGAATATTAAGTTAATCTATTAGAAATTTGATCAAATATTGGTCAGGACTGAAGATGGTAAAACAATTAGAAGGGAGGTCCACAGCTGCATAAAAAAAAAAACGAAGCAACAGCAGCAAAAACAGCAACACACAACAGGCACACGCGCACACATGCCACCACTGATGTTTTGTTTACCTCTTACAGCTCCGGTGGAGACGAGCGGCCGCAAGCTCCTGCACCTCAACATGCACACGCCCGGGCCGTCGGCTCCGGGCGCGCCGCCCACCTCTACCACCATAGACGGTCGTCTCTCACGGCTAGTGGTGCGCCTGGCCGGCCTGGCCACCAGCGTGGCCCAGCTCGAGGAGACGGGCCGCGAGCTGGAGCGCTCCGCCGAGAACACCAGCAGCGACCAGAACCTGTCGCGGCTCGCCTCGCACGTCATCAGCCTGCAGCACCGGCAGAAGCAGAAGCTGCAGGAGCTGTCGCACAGCGTCACCGAGCGCCTGACCGTGCTGAAGGCCCACCTGCGCGACCTCACCATGGAGGTGCAGCAGCTGCGGGGCCTGGCGACGGCGCAGGACGGCTCGCACGAGCAGCGCGGACCCATCGAGCGCATCGTCTCCTTCTTCCGCGCCTTCGAGCGGCAGTCGGACCCGGAGCTGCGTCAGGTCCCCATGGCCATCCTGCAGAAGGCCAACTACACCATTATCGACATGGTGAGCTTCCATGCGAACTCCGCCGATCTCGACAAGCTGCTCTCCATCAAGATCATCGAGCCCAAACTGTAAAGAATATACTTCACCTTACACGTCTTCTGTTTGAATTGTGCCACATATGGTAAACGTTCATTTTGACTCATGCTGCAAATAGGGCACACAACTAATAGCTATGTAGATGCATTACAAATGCATTCCATGTATTGCACAAGGCTACATATATATCGCAATATCCTTTTCGTTCTACCGATTTGCTACATACTAGTTTAGCCTGCAATATGCGTTGTATACCTGTGTATTTATCAATAAATAAATGGCATTTTGAACGCGGTGGTTCAAATTTTTACCCCATTATAGAGTTCAGTGATTTACCCGCTTGGTAAACGGTAAACCAAACCAAATAAAACGCGATGGACAATGGACATAAAGACATAAGACACGGGAATTTCTGTTACATTTAGGTATTCATGCACTTCACTGACTCGCGGAGGGTGGGGCAGGGGGTCATGAGCCTCTACCCTGGTCGAGCCGATTTTGTTTCGGCTGGGATCGCTCTAGTGTGCCCGCATGAGCGTCAGCGCATGACAGGGTACTTTCATGTCACGCTGACCGTATCAAGACGACTTCGGGTAGAATGTACAATGTGACAACACATTCGTCTTTTTTATAGCCACAATGATCCTAAAAGCGACTATCTTAACAGTATCTGTCCCTTAGCATATGTACTTACAATTGAAGTATTTATTGATGATTCTTATTTCCCCCATTATTTGTCGCTTTTAGCAATGCATATTTGTGCGATAAAGACAAATATGCTACATGACGCAACCTACCACGACTAGAGATTTTTAGACGACCGATACAAGCGCCTTCAGTCAGAACCAATTTTGGCTCCCGTTAATCATATCGTTGATTGATCCAATGTTTCTTAGAAGGGATAGAGGGCATCGAACTCGACCCAGCGCTAGGCGACAGGACTGGCGACCGCCGGAGGGCGACGGCCGGCAAGACAGCTCTGACGCCTTGAGGAGCGAGCCAAGAGTGGAACAGGGCACTCTAAAACCAAGATTCTATAACATGATGGCAGAGTGATAAGATTTTAAAGTTTTAATTGTGTTTACTAGTGTAAGATAATTAAGCGCAAATCAAACTACTAGAGGTTTTCAATGTGCCTACATAGGTACACTACACGCAGAGTTGGTGAGCCGACCGTCACATCAAAGTTGAGATTCCTCACTTCCTCCTCCATAACTTTTTATTCGTCGATCGACCACCACACAAACGTTTACATGTTATATCAGGCTTCCATACCTTCCAAACAGTTACAGCTTATGTAAAATACACTGATAAGTTCCACAGTCTTATCCATCTGGCTGATATCAGCAGCAACCCATCTCTGCCTCAGTGTTCCGGTCTGACGGTTATTTCACCACTAGACAACCGCGGAGAGCGGCCCTAATAAGATCATACCTCTCCCGAGTGACCGTTTGAGCGACTGGGTGTCTGGCCTCCGTACTTGGGTCGTCGCATTACCCAAACAGCGAAACAGTTGGCGCACAAAGAGCAGTGTCTCATACCTGATCATCTCATTCCACAGATCTCAGCAAAAACATAGCGAACAATAAATTATGTCGACTTATAGTTGACTTAGGTATATGTGCCACTTCGAAGGATTTTCTTCCTTCAAAACCGTTTTATATCCACGGTCTGACACTGAACTTAACATAAAGTGTTTTGCGCATTTATATAAAATAAAATGGTATTTTACAGTAGGTACGACCATTTAAACATGTCCGATCCGTCTCTCATGGGAGCCCAGCGTGTCCTCTTGCCCCAGCGACCTTGAATGTGCCTGGTGACCTCTCTCGCCACCATCGGCGCGCAGTTTCGACTGTTTATCGCCAGCGGTGTCGGTCCTCAAACGCGTTTTGTGTTTATCATTTTTAGAATACTGCTGAGTGTGTTATGATGTTCTGAGCCGCCCGCTGGGACATGGCTCAGATAAACACATATGATCTTGATCGACACGGGCCCCGCGGCGGGGGTCGGCCGTACAGGGGTGTCGATTTTTCAAAATGGTTGGGGGTGCTCAACCCCTGCACCGGGTGACAGTGCAGCTTTGCCATGCGGCACAACCGTACAAGGCGGGGTTGGTTATCCCCATAAGGTACTGATAATGCCGGGATTTCTATATACTAATATTTCCCAAGGGCAGAACGTTCTTCTTGAAAATCATTCTGCTCGTCCTAGTACTTGGCTACCTGATTACATAAACATCTTTCCGAAAAAAAATATATTTGCCGGCAGCATGGCAGCAGCCCCGACACCTCTGTAATAAGGTGACAGAAACCAATGACGGTGATTAGCACCGGTGCAGCAGCCGCTGCGGTCCGCAGGGGCGGACATTGCGCGGAGGCAACGGTAGCTACGAGGCTCTGGCGGTAATCAGACGATTCCAATATCGATGAAAAATGACAGGTGATCGCATTTGGATATTTACGGGTTTATGATTTTCCCCAGTGGCGTAGCCAGGTGGGCCGTGAGGCACGTGCCCCCCCCCCCCCATCAGGTTCGGGCCTCAGGGTCCCCTCGGGTTATTCGGGCCTGAGGGGCCCTGAGGCGCCAATTGGCCGCTAAGGGTCAATGCTGGCCATATTTGGACATAGAAGGGATCCACGGGGCTCGTAAAACCCCTCATGGGCCCACAAGTACCAACACTAAGATCTCCACAAGGGCCCCAAGCCAGTCTCTGAGGGCCACTTGGCGGCCTCTGAGGACCCCTTACCGGCTTCGGAGGGCCACATGTCGGACTATGGGGGTCTTAACCGGCCTATTCCCAGCCAGCAAATTTGGTCCTGGCCGTAGCTGGTCTTACTCTGGCTAGCTCCGGCATTTGCTCCGGCTAAAGTACGGGAAAGGTCTGGGGCTCTACTGGAGCTGACACACGATACCGGAGCTCGCCCGCATCACAGCCGGACTTATGCCGCATCAGCCGTGCCGTACTTCCACCGTACTTCAGCCACAGTAAGCCAGAGCAGCTATGAGGTGCAGCCGGACCTGGTCGTAGGGAGCCGGACTTGAGCCATGGCAGGGAGTCTGACTTGAGCCAGACTTGGCGGTTCGGAACCATAACAACCCGGGAGCGCTACGGCATATACTGGCTAGCCGGAATAGAGCCGTATCGACCCAAACCCCGGATCTGACGGCGATACCCTCGTCAGTTACCAGCGACCCTGACGGTCCCACACAGGTGACTCGGAGGGTCACAGCGGCGTCTGAGAGCACCATGTCCGGTCTCTTAGAACCCCACAAGGCTCCTGAAGGCACCGGTGACCTCTTGATATCTTCTTGTCGGCCTATGAAGGGTCCGTTCCGTAACAGCAGTTCTGAGGGCCACACGCGCGCCTGTGATGGCCCTAAACCAGTGTCTCTGAGAGCCCCCACAACGGCGCCTGTGAGGGCCATCACCGGCAACTGTGGAGCACCTACACCGGCCTCTCCGAGGGCCATACATTGCCATATCTGAGGGCTCCGCACTAGTGCCTCTTAAGGCCCTATATCGGCGGCTCTGAGGGCCCAACACCGTCGCTTCTGAAGGCCCCACAAGCAGGGATGCGGAGCCGGAGCCGGAGCTGGAGCCGGAGCCGCCGGAGCCGGTATATTTTGCCCGGAGCCGGAGCCGGAGCCGGAGCCGTGAAACAACACAGCCCGGAGCCGGAGCCGGAGCCGGAGCCGTCAAAAAAGGGGCGACTCCGGCTCCGAGGGAAAAATTTTGACCTAACTCGGTTTCACAGTACAAAGCAGTAAAACATGTGGTATTCCAAATATCCTTGTTATGCAAATACAGAAACAACGTGTGCCAATCCAATCGCCTTTTTTCTTCCACCCGTATTTAATTAATCGCATAGGGAATGTACTGGGTAGGAGCCGGAGCCGGAGCCGCCGGAGCCGGACCATTTTACTCGGAGCCGGAGCCGGAGCCGGAGCCGTATTGACATTTCACCCGGAGCCGGAGCCGGAGCTGGAGCCGATTTTTTCTCCGGAGCCGGAGCCGGAGCCGTCTGAAATTTCCACGGCTCCGCATCCCTGCCCACAAGTGCACATATGACGGCCACCCACCGGTGACATTTGAAGGCCCCACACCGGCGACTCTGAGGGCCCCATCGGCGTCTGAGTCCGTGCCGGTCTCTAAAGACGACCCCACAGGGTTTCTGAAGGTACCACCGGCATCTGATGGCCCTTTGCCGGCCTCTGAGGGCCCGTCGCCGGTATCTGGAGCCCCCTGCCGGCTTGTAAAGGGTACGCGTTATCAGCTCTAAGGGTCAGACACTCGTGTACGACGGACCCACACCAGTGTCTCTGCAGTCTGCAACTTAACGTCTTTTTTTCGCCCTTCTTCTTAAGACTAACTTTTCTTTTCTTTACATTTTTATTTCATGCATTGTAAATTGCGTAATTGTTTTATTTTTAGTAGTGAAAGACTGCGGAACCAATTATTTTCCTCAAGCAGAGTTAGTGGGAGTTATTGAGGGACAAAATAATTGGGGGTGCTGACTGGAACATTTGGGGGTGCCCGGAAAACCATTGGGGGTGCTTATTTGAGCATTGGGGGTGCTGCAGCACCCCCAAAAGTATACAAATCGACACCCATGCGGCCGTAGCTTATCACTACCGAACCGAGTGGGTACGACGATGTGCAAATCGACATTTCACCAGACCCACAAAATAGGTGCTTCTCCATTATTGTAACTGTGACTGCGACACATCACGTTAGAGGTTTTTTGAAAGTTGCAATACCTACAAATAAGATTGTGAACTCTTCTCACTTATCTAATTGATTAACCGAAAAACGTTTTGATAGTGTGTAGGTTGTAAATTGTAATAAGGATGCACAAAACTGCCAACGAGCTGAGCAAAGGACGAGCAGAAATCAAACGGTTCGTCTTTTCCAAGAAACCAGCTAGCTCCAAGACGCCAGCCACGAAACCGGTCTCACCGCCACTGCGGGAGAAGCTATAGTTCGTTTTTTTTTTCAAAAGGACGCTGGCTCCAAGTATGTTTTTCGAACAATCACGTGTTTTAGCCGCCAAAACGAGCAAAAACCACGCAAAAACTGAACCTGAGAAAATCGAACGTCGACTAATTTTAACATGTGATTTCTTCCCGATAATTTCCATATGTGCGTTTTGGAACCAGATATGGGAACAGTGGTGACGTCATGCTGTCGAACATGCATTGCAATGTAACGTATAACTATCATGGACGGAACCCCTTACTCGATTATGCTCGGCAACAGTGAAAAAAAAAACTAAGTTTCACCCAAATTCGTTGACACTTGTCCCATTGCACGGACATTTGGTTGCCTGGTGCCACCAGTGACGTCATCATAGTATGTTCATTTTTAAGAAACAATTTCCAGCTACTTACCGTGCACAACTTGAAATCGATTATTTTTTCGGTAAGAAATTCTTGGCCAGACACTGAAGCTGCCAAAACTCACGTGAGAGCTTCGATATTGCACTTTGAGCCAGCGTCCTTTTGAAAAAAAAAACGAACTATAGTTCGTTTTTTTTAAGTTTGCCCCTCACTGTAAACGTCTTTTTTAACATAGCACGAGAATTGCTAGCTGAATTACTGAGAAAACTGGTTGGCGCACACTGATTTAACCAGATTTCACAGACGATCAATTTCATCAAGTTTATTTACTATTTCACAAACTCGTAAATCGTATCTGGCAGTACCTACAGCCCCACAGGGATAGACGACTTCTCAGGAATTATGTCTGAACTAATAAATAAATTGCACGGCGCTTAACATAACGTTAAATTAAATCGTCGGTGTTCAAAACTTATTTTTGAAAATATTATTCATATCTACAATACAATGTGCGCTAACCAGTTTTCTCAGTAATTCAGCGAGCAATTCTCGTGCTGTGTTCAAAGAGACGTTTACAGTGAGGGGCAAACTTAAGAAAAACGGACTATATTACTACTTTAGCTGCGGGCTGGAATTTGTATGTCCTATCCAAAGCATCGGGGGCCGTCCGAGACGGTCCAGGACATGACAATTCTGAGAATATCGGAGCGAGTGGTCGGAGCGAATGGTGAACCGTGGGTCAAACGAAGTTGGTGACTGCGTCTCGGCATCTCTGTTATATCAAACGGTCCACTGCTCGTGCGCCATGGCCCCATATTCTCACGTCACGAATGCACCCTTGCGTCTCGAAATGCAACGACCGGTGACTGCGCCGGCCATTCATCCCGGCATCACTCCAAATGTGAACTTTTGACTTATTTACCCGGTAATTTTTTTTTATCCGCATCGCCTTTACTTACTATGCCTACATAAATGATGATCTTGTTATAATGCAACATACCTATCTACTATGGTATATTATCTGGCACATATACGATCAACATGGGTAATGGGTTTACTCAAGTAACGAAATAACTACAAGCCGGCCATCTACTTGGCAGGGGAACACCTTACGAAAATCGTTATGATTAGCCAGATCATTTGGCGACATCTGACATTTCGCTTCACTCACACTATTGACGTAGCACCCCACTAAATTTAAGTGGAGCATTCAAAATCCATGATAATCATTAAATTATCAAATTTTGCACCTCTACCACCCGTCCTCAGAAGCCCCACGCGTCACCCGGCTGTGGTGTGCCGTCTGGCGCGGATCGGGCGCCGCGGTGGGACCGGGTCGCGTGCCACTGGCACGTGGCCGGGAGACGGGTGTCTGTTTGGAATCGCCCGAACCGGACAGTCATCAGGTCTGCAGCCCCGGGCGTCCGAGGGGGCCGAGGGGCCACACGCTGCTGTGACCCCGCCGCTGGCGGTTCACCAGTGCGAGCTGCCGGTCGGCAGGGCATTAAAAAGGCAGAACCGTCAGAGTGCGGCTTTGACGGGTCTTATCTCTGCGTGAAGAAAGATAGTGTGTCTGGTTCTGTTAGTCTATAAGTCTGTGATCACCATGGTCCGACCCCGGCATCCCTCGACTTCCATCGGCGACACAGCCTGGCTGCTGGAGAGCGCCAGCGATCACCTGGCGCCTCCGGCCAGCCAGGAGTCGGACCCGCTCGCAGCAGGGGCTGGGGATGGCGAACAGATTGACGAAGACTCGGCCGCACGGCTCACCGGCCGACAGAAGCGCATCCTGGGCGGCCTGTCCTTGGGCGGCCTGCTGGCCGGCTGCTGCATCGCCATCATGATCCCGTTCTTCCCGCACGAAGCGCAGCGGCGCGGCCTGCCACAGACCTACTCGGGTGCCGTGTTCAGTTGCTACGCGCTGGCGCAACTGCTGGCGTTTCCAGTGATGGGTCGATTGGCTCCTCGGGTCGGTGTTTCAAGACTCTATAACGTCGGTCTGGCGACTGCAGGAGTGACGACTACTGTGTTTGGAACACTACCACACATCCAGGACTCGATGGCGTTCATCGGTGCTTGTTTCGCGTGTCGTGCTCTGGAGGCGGTCGGAACGGCGGCCATGCACACGGCTGCTAGAGCCATCATCATCAACCAGTTTCCACGGAGCCCGAACACGGCTATGAGTATCTCGGAGACCCTGGCCGGTCTGGGCCTGTCGCTGGGCCCGGCGCTTGGCGGCGGCCTGTACCAGCTGGGCGGCTACGGCACGCCGTTCTACACCCTGGGAGGTCTGATGCTCGTCTCCTCTGCCACCAACCTGTGGCTGATGCCGTCCGTGCGGGAGGACACCCTGCCGGCAGCGGGGGCGCCGCGGCGCGGCCCGCCCGGCGCGCGGCTCCTCCGCTTCCTCAGCGCCGCAGAGAACTGGCTCTGCTGCTCCGTGGTGCTGGTGGTGGCGATGTACGTCACCGCACTCGACCCCAACATCGAGCCGTACGTTCGCGTCGCGCTGGGAGTCACCCCTGCCGAGCTGGGCCTCTTCTTCCTGGTCTCTGCCGGCTGTTACACGGCCGCCAGCCTGGTCTGGGGCCGTCTCTCCGACAACATCTCCAACACGTACGTGCTGACGGCGCCGTGCCTGCTGGTGGGCGCCGTCGGCATCCTGCTGATCCCGCCGTCGCCGCTGCTGGTGGGCCTGCAGCCCGTCTGGTGGCTCACCATGCTCGGTATGGTGGTGAGGGAGATGACCACGGGTGGCGCGTTCATCCCTATCATGCACAGGATGGTGCGAGTGTGTGTCGCTCACGGCATGGAGAACAACCTGTCCACGCAGGCGTTCGTGTCGGCCGTCTTCGGCGCCGTGTTCTCCATCGGTAACGTGGTCGGACCGACGCTGGGAGGCTACATCACTGACCTGTACGGCTTCCCGGTGGCTGCCACCGGTCTAGCTGGATTCGGCGTGCTCGTGGCGATCGCCTGTGTTGTAGGGGCAGTGGTGACGCGCAACTCACTGCCCAAGTGAGCAGGGCAGCGCCGGCTCAGTGGCACGAACCGGAGACATAACTTCACAAGAACTTGAGTTTAAGTGCTGAGATGGATGTATGTACAAGTGCGAATGCGGAGAACATGTGTACTGTAAATTGTCGTCATAAGGTGATGAACCCTAAGCCTAATGGTTGTTCTTGTTGGTTCATAATTCATTGTTCGCGGTGGCTTACGAATGTTTTCGGTGTTTTGCAATACATATAGGTATATTAATAATTGTGTACCTATGTTGGCATATTGTACCTACCTACCTAGTAGGTTTAGGTGCCTAGTGTAAATAAATTTTACACAAAATGTGCTTTCTCTCTCTCCCTCTCTCTCCTTCTCTCCTTCTGTCCTTTCCTCCTCCTCTCTCTCTCTCTCTCTCTCTCTCTCTCTCTCTCTCTCTCTCTCTCTCTCTCTCTCTCTCTCTCTCTCTCTCTCTTTCTTCCACGCTAGCTCCCAATGACAAATCTAGTTTCTTTAAACTTTTTTTTTATTTGTATCCTGAAAAGACAAACTCAGAGCCAATAGCCATAGACATTCCAAGGGGTACCTATGAGCATTTTGGGCGAAATAATAGCACCCGAATACTGAATAGACATGCATACCTTCAACTAGCCCTCGCCCGTATTGGTGTTTTTACTTTTTCCAGCCGTGAACGCATAAGGGGGGCCGTTGGACCACCCTTGCCGTTTCGCCCCTGATCGAGGTGAAGCTTCGCGGTAAAAACGAGCGTGTTGCCCATGACGAGAGGAAGCTGTTGATACCCAATTTTAATCCTCGCCGGCACAGGCCATTTTGAGTCCTTCGATGGCACAAAGGCCCCCCCCCCCCTGGTACGACACCCCCCCCCCCTCGCGCTTGGCCCCTGATGGAGCTAGAGCTTCGCTGAGCTTGGAGCTAGAGCTAAACGCCGCGTGTTGCCCGTCACGAGAGTAAGCCAATGATACCCAATTTTAAGGTTCTAGGTCATCGGTTGACATTCCAGGCCAGGTCAATGACCCAAAAATCGGGAATATCGGGACCAGTTAGAAAGTCGTAAAGTGTGGCTGCTAAGGGGTTTTCCGGGGTGCTGATCACGAATATCGTGTTAGTTTTGATCACAGATGATGTCATTAAGCGTTAAGACCAGGTAGGGTCAGGTCAGGTCAGGTCAACAAGAAGAGGTCGTGACGGGTATTCGTAGGAGGAGGTGTTACTGTTTACCGCCTCTGACAGCTCTTCGTAACATCACCACACCGATCACAGGGGTGTGGTGCGGCTGATGGTCGGACGACGAGCATTGCAACAGTGCCACACCGGCACAGCGGCCTGTGGGCTGTGGTGGCGCAGTGCAAGAGACGGATAAAACGCCAGCCCTTATGCTAGTTGCTAATTGTTTGCTTATTTCAGGGTATTTAATTGACTTAAATTCACATCAAGATATCATTTTATCACTTTCCTCAGGGTATTTTATCAGGGTATTTAATTGACTCAAATTAACATCAATATATTATTTTATTACTTTTCTCAGCTTTCCTTTTCCCGTTTATTTTGCAAATCCGCCACAGTTGAAAGAAATGTACTTTTGCACTCTCTGCAAGAAAAGTGGGCACTCTAAATATTACCCGTACTTGTTACCATTTAACCAGCTCTACGTTCCCCCTCTGGCTAATACCGTAAATTTTGGTCTTGAACTTCTTCAATGTGTCTTTGTTCAAAATAAACAAGGCATTTTAAGCTAGCAAACTCAGCAAGCGAGATAAACGTTGCTCCATTAATGAAATACTCAGTAAATAATGTGAGCGAAGTTTGTTGTCATCAGTTGTCATTACCCATTACTATTGTGTGTTTGGCCGAAGGAGTTTTGGAGAACGCGTGTGGATTTACGATTTCGTCATGCTGTTTTGAGATGTGTTGATATTCTGACAGTGACTTGAATTTGGGTGTGTTGTTAGTGGAACATGGGTGTCGGAAATTCAAACTTTATTTGAGATTCAAGGTGGATAAGCTCGTTTCCGAAGCCGAGTGCCTGGTGCTCTCGATCTCGCTGGCTCCGGTCGTTCTGCTACTGGTGGACATGAGGAAATTACTAAGGAAAGGTGAGTCAAGTGGGCTACTTGCATATTTAATTGTTATTATGTTGCGTGAATCGCTGGGTAACCATTGAGAGGTTAATGGTACAAATATATGGAAAATGTAGTGCGCATGGCGGCCATTTTTGTTTGGTAATCATGCGCTGCAAGACGCCAATCGCTGCTCATTTGTGACAATCGATGCGCAGTAGACATCGCAAATTGGTTGGTTTATGGTTTTATTGTCTCTTTTTTTGCGAGCTTTCTGCTCAAGATTGAAAACATTCTGATTCCTTATGAAATGTTGCATGCATTTACTAGGCTGTGCATCAAAGTATTTGCCTGTATCTCATATTTTTTTTTAGTTCTCACATTCCAAATGTCACATATTCCAGGGCTTATCTTCATCTGGCATTACTTCATTTGAATATTCTCAACCAGAATAAATAGAATAAACAAAACAGGGTACTCTCCTAGGGGTGAGACTAAATGCTTACTTCGAAATCTAAGCTGTGTTGCGGCATTGGCGGTTATGTGCGGCGTGTATGCCGCATGATTAGTAAGCGGCGACCACTAAATTCAAGACTTAAACGCTCCAACCTGTTTTCAATGAATAACACTGCATACCAAAAATGCCGGTAAATGTCAAGTTTAAGTCCTAAGAAGATTTCATTGATAAATTTTTCATATTTTTACATTATTTGACATCCTGAATCCAAAAATGATACTCATATGTCTCGCAAATAAAAGAAAAAAACATAATCAAACCTGACCTAACCTTACCTACTTACCTATAACCTACCAACCTACAACCTACAAACCTACCCTAACGTAACCTAACCTACAAACCTACCTACCTACAACCTAAAACCTACAAACCTACTACCTAACCTAACCTAAAACCTAAAATTTTTGCTGTTTCATATTCGTATCAAAAGCGCCACAGTTGTAGTTAGGACCTAAACTTGACATATACCAAAATGCCAATCACTCTCGTCATAAGGTATTTAGATTTAAACAACTAAGTTATCTGCATCATCATTTTGAACCAAATTAATGCCTTCAACTTAGTAGGTACTCACTCATTCCTTCCTTCGTTGGCTCCAAACAGTCTTTCGATTGTCTGGAAATCGTATGCCATATCCCGCACCTGTATACGACTGGTGCATATAAAGGCCGATGTAAGCATTTCAATAGGCTCTCGCATGCGATTTCCTGGCTACCCAAAAAGTCTGTTTCAGTCATGCTATTAAAACATGGTATGTCAGCCCTGTCACCAGCTTATGACTGCTCTACTTGTAGTGCCCCTGACCGTCACCGACTCCCTTCCCTCCTTAAAAGCCTAGTTTCCCACCATCATCTCTACTAGATTTAGGTGATGCTCCGACGAATTCACAAACAAGACCGAACTTGTTCGGAGTTCGGACTGTGAGTTAACCCTCGCCCTTTAGGGGGGGGGGGGGTCGAACGGACTCCCCTCGGTTTTTCGCGAATAACTCGCGTAAAAAGCGGCCGATCACGACGTAACGTTTAGTACCCTCGCGTTGATCAATTTTACACCTACCCTGAAAATTTCATGACCCTGACGCAAATAACCTTTGACCTGTGACCTACTTTTCGAGACCATGTTTGGCCGGAACCGCGATTCAGCGTATGTCGGCTCGCATTAGCAGCGCGTTTGCAGTCTTTTCGTGGTTTCAAGCGTTCAAACATGTGATATGATGTTGCCCCCATGCATTAGGGTGGGTGTCAAGGTCACCTGAAGGTCAGGTCAGGTCATTGACCTTTGGTGACCTCGGTTCACTTTTTCGAGTTTGACATGTTTCTAGGCCAGTTTTTCGAGCTGAATTCGAATTTAGCAACCACATGAACGTTTACAAAGTAGTTTTGGTGCCATCGTAACATGTTACGAGGCTGTCAGAGGCAGTTGACACCTACTACAAATACCCAGCAGGACCTCTACTGGTTGACCTGACCTGACCTGACCCGACCTGGCCTAAATGAATGAAGACATCATCTGTGATCAAAACTAGCATGATATTCGTGATCAGCACCCCGGAAAACCCCATAGCAGCCACACTACGACGTTCTAACAGGTCCCAATTTTCCGCCTATTGGGTCATTGACCTGACCTGGAAGGTCAACCGATGACCTAGGACCTTAAAATTGGGTATCATCGGCTTCCTCTCGTCACGGGCAACACGCTCGTTTTTTCCGCGAAGCTCTAGCTTGATCAGGAGCGAAACGGCAAGGGGTTATACCTTATACGTTCGCGGCTGGAAAAACACCAATACGGGCGAGGGTCAAGTTGAAAGTATTAATTTGGTTCAAAACGATGATGTAGATAAGTTAGTTATTTAAATCTAAAAATCCTATGACGAGAGCGATGGACATTTTTGGTATGCAGTGTTATCCATTGAAAACAGGTCAAATCTATTGAGTTTTTAATTTAGTGGTCGCCGCTTACTAATCATGCGGCATACACGCCGCACATAACCACCAATGCCGCAACGCAGCTTAGATTTTGAAGTGAGCATTTAGTCTCACCCCTCTCCTAGCTGTAGCAGACGTCACCCGAGCTGCCATATCTATGTCTCATGTGCGCAACAATTGTCTTTTCACGGTTAAATATATAACAAAACACAATCTAACTTGACCTAACCTTACCTACAACCTACAACCTAACCTACCAACCTACAACCTAACCTACCAACCTACAACCTACAATCTACCAACCTACCTAATTAGATATGGCAGCTCGGGTGACGTCTGCTAAGAGAATTCCCATAACAGAAACTGACCTAAGTGGCAATTTCATCCTTTTGCACAATTGAAGAAATTTACTTAAAGTGACCGTCCCACCTTAACATTAGTTTTGAGTTCAAGTTGAGATAGCCAAATTGGTGGCCGTGGCCTGAAAATACCGGTTTGGGCACTCACAAAATCGAATGCCCCCTTAGAATTTGTTACGTCAGCAGAGATCTAACAATTTTTAAAGCTTATATCTTCGTAAATCTTAGACTAAAACCATTGTTAACACGTGGTGGTATACACTGCTTTGCGTGCAACATCTGCCGCACTTCAAGGCTGCCAAATTATTGCTTCCAAATAAGTCGCTAGGAACAACGGAGATCCCAAAAAGTAAACTAATGTAAACCAGTGAAAAATATTCACAAAACCAGTGAATATTTTTCGGTGAAATTTGGTAGATATTCATTTTTATCTTTCCCAGCTAAGGGACAACACTTTTATGCTAATTCATTAACTTTTTGAAGGTGGGAGCCAGGAGGGTCCCTTTAACAAAAACTTGGATGGAGAGAACACAGCCTTCTAAGGTTGAAAAGTGAGACCAGACATGATATTTATTAGGTGGTACAATACTTCTTACCCAAAAAAAAAAAAAAAAAATGTAGGCTATACTACACCCAACCACACATTGAGGTAAGCCGGTTATGTAAGGTCGGGTTAGGTCAGGCTAGGTTAGGTTTTGGTATATCTGCTGGTAGTGTAGGTACCTGAGTTTCTAGCATAAACCTGCGCCCTACTGGGAGGGTGTGTGTGTGAACACCCCCTGTGGTTTTTCTTGAATATCTAAAAAAACTGATGCTCCACGCCACCTTATCGCCTTATCACACTATCGTATTTCAATTCTATACGTGAAAATTTCAGATCAAGGTCATTAAAGTTCAGGTCACCAGGTCACTTCAAGTGACCTCACCTAAAAAGTTTCAATGTCTGCCATAGCTAGTCAATTGACTGATTGCTTTGAAACTTTCGGTGGTTGATAAGAGCAACAGTATGCACAAAATGTATCTCGCAATTTTGATATTGGTGATTAAAGATCAGGTTAATTTTGCGACCTCCCCATTGTAAGTCAATGCACAGTGGGGATTTTTCCGATCTAGCGCGTATTAATTCCAAAAATCTTTTTTGGATTTTTGTTTATTTTTTTGTGTCAGTGGGGCTAAGAAATGTCTGAATTTTTCATATATGGCATTGTTTTATCTGTATGTCCTCGGCAAGAATAGGAAAAATGCGCCCAAAGTTCACACTCATGCGTGATTACTCAATGGGCTCAGTAAGGCCCGAAAGTATAGCTCAATTTCATTGTCCTGTCCTGTTGGTTTTATTCTTGCGAGGTCTTAAAGTTGCATATCTTCTGAAAGGCACCTTTATTAGGAATGGAATGGCAAACAGAAAGTATGCCACAACCTTACTCAGGTCGCAAAAAATGACATTTACAAAAACCCTTACAGACACCATATTGAAGGAATGGTATTCTAAATAAATGTAGGAAATCAACAATGTTTTCCACACTTTTCCACTCCGAAACATATCCTATCGAATTCGCCACTTTTTCCTGCACAAGACAACGCCTAGTTTGGCTGCCGGAACTTGCCTGAACACGGAATATTCACATTAGAGTATCTTAATACCCCACTCTAGGAGCGCTAGGGCAAATAGCACGATATAGGTATGTTCCGAACATAGGCGAATAATTTTACTTCGTGATTTATATGATGCATATTTCCTGAGACACATTCATTAGGAATAGGATGACAAGCGTAAATTATACACACCGTAATCTTATTAACCCTCGCACTTGTGGGGAGGGGGAGGGGGAAAGGGTCGGATAAAACCCCATGGTTTTCCGCAAATTACTCGCGCAAAAAGCGGCCGATCGCGACGAAACTTTCGGTGCCCTCGAGATCATCAATTTTACATCTAACCTAAAAATTTCATGACTCTGACCCAACTGACCTTTGACCAGTGGCATATTTCTCGAGACCATGTTTGGCCAGAATCGCGATTCGGCGTATGCCAGCTCACATTATCCGCGGTTTCTAGTCTTTCTGTGGTTTTAAACGTTTAAATATGTGAAATGATGTTGGTGCCATGCATTATGGTGGGTGTCAAGGTCACGTGAAGGTCAAGTCAAGGCCATTGACCTTTGATGACCTTGGTTCACCTTTTCGAGTTTAACTTGTTTCTAGGGTAGTTTTTGGTGCTGATTTCGAATTTAGCAA